ATGTAATTACTTTTTAGATACGAAAGCTAAGAAGCTTACGAGCTTGTTTTGTTGCTCATTTCACAACATTAGTGACGAGTCGATTGACGACCTCCCTCTCATCTCTCTCATCATGTCAAGCATATGCATCTTAAGAGATTTTTGAATTGTATATGTAAATGTATAAATATAAACTCCTGGATGTGTTTTGTGACGTGTTTATGAACAAAAAAAATGTATATAAAAGTGTTTTTGATTAAGTATCCAAGCTTTACAATTAAAAAGAATGGTTTCTATTTTAATTGAAAAGTTATGGCCGAAAAACCATCTTTTCAAGCAAGTAACATACACGAAAAGGTACATGACCGTGTGAGAGGCCGTGTAACCTTCCGTTTCCAAGGAAAAAAACAAGATTTTGCATTACACGAGCAAGTATACAGTCGTGTGAAAGGCCGTGTAACCTTACGTCCGCAAAAAAAAAAATCTAATATTCTTAATATGATGTTTTTAACATTCCTAACTAAGTTATACGAAGGTTTTGTAAAGAATTAAGTTAATGAGGCTAAACCCTTATTTCAACCTATTATTCAAAATACTTATTATCCAATACCTCTCTAACATGTCATATACGAGTATAAGTATATACATGTAACTCATAAGTATGCGTGTATGAATGAACAATGTATGTTTTTGAAATAGGATTATTACAATTCTCCCTCCTTAAAAGAATTTCGTCCTTGAAATTCCTTTACCTATATCAAGAAACAAGTGCGAATAATAATTGTGCATATATTCTTCAATCTCCCAAGTTGCCTCTTCCTTAGCATGGTTTCTCCATAAAACCTTCACCATAGGCATTTCTCTATTCCTTAACTGTCTTTAACTTTCGATCAAAGATTTATACCAATTCCTCCACATAACTCAAGTTGTCGGATACCTCTATTTCACCGGCTTAAACCACATATGAAGGATCGGATTAGTATCTTCTTAACATACTTACATGGAAGACATCATGTAGTTGCACTAACTCTTAAAGTAAAGCCAATCTATATGCAAGTAGACCAATCGGTTCTATTATTTCATATGGTCCAATGTAACGAGAACTCAATTTACCTTTCTCACCAAACCGTAAGACCCTCTTCTAAGGTGGAACTGCGAGGAAAACCTTATCCCTTACATTGTATTCCATATCTCGTCCGTGTTGGTCCATATAACTCTTTTGTCGATCTTGTACAATCTTTAACTTACTTCGATCACATTTACTTTATCTACAATTTCTTGTACAAATTCTGGATCTTCTAGTATTCTTGTTCCTTCATTCCAATATACGGGACATCGACACTTTCTACCATATAAAGTTCCATACAATGCTATGCCTATACTTGTTGTGGAAATGATTATTATAAGCAAATTCAATCAAATTCACATAATTATCCCAAAATCCCTTAAACTCGAGCACACAAGCTCTATGCATATCTTCAAGTGTCTAGATGATTCTTTCGACTATCCATCGGTTTGGAGACGAAAAGCAATAATAAAATGTAGTTTGGTCCCCATGGCTTGTCGTAAACTATCCCAAAATCTAAAAGTAAATCTTGAATATGTCCGACACAATAGATAGGGGCACACCATGAAGTCTCACAATTTCATCTACATACTTCTTGGCCAATTGATCCGAGCACACCCCATCCGATCGACAAAAAGTTAGCTAACTTTGTCAATCCGTCAACAATAACTCGAGATAGCATCATTTTTCTTTTGAGTTCGAGACAATCCTATAACAAAATCCATAGTGATCATTTCCCATTTTCACTCCGGAATCGACAGATAATGTAATTTTCCTGCAGGAGCTCGATGCTCTATCTTTATTTATCGACATGTCAAACATCTTGAAAGAAATTCAACTACTCGCTTTTTCATGTTCGGCCACCAAAAAATGAGCTTTCATTGTTTGATACATTTTAGTACTTTCCGGATGCATAGCATAAAGAGCATTATGGGCTTCATCTAAGATCTCTCTTTTTAAATCATCGACATCCGAAACATATATCCGATTCCCATACATTAAAGCTCCATCAACATGAGTTACAAATTCCTTGCCCCTTCCTTGATCAATCTTCCTTCTAAGCTCAACAATGTAATCATCCCGTTTTAGTTAATTATTTTCGTTTTGTATGTCTAACAAAATGACAAAAAAATTAATCTGAATTTTTAAACTTAAAATACCTTAAAAGATCAAAAAAAAAAATCCATATTGTGCTAATTTATGAGTGAAATGAGCTTAAGACAAACAACTCAATTTAATAATCATTCTAAGAAATGTAGTTATGTTTATCTAGTGTGCTATCTAATTAAACCCAAAATGAAAACTTAAGGTCTAAGTGATTTTTTAGAATCAAAATAACACAATTTTCCCAAAAAAACAAGTGATTTTTTGTCAATATTTATAATTTTTTACACTTTGATCATCTAAGTTATTAATTTATATAAAACAATCCATAATGTTAATTAATATTACAAAAATGTCTATAATTTTTTTACTACTTGGACTATTTTTTTCATTATTTATTATTTAATCAAAACAATTTCTTTCCATAGTTAATGTTTACTTTTTCTATTTTTATAAATATTCATTAACTAAAATTAAATATTCCTCTAGTATAAATCGATTAAACACCTCCTCCTAATTTGATTTTTTCAAAATAAATAATTAATAACATGTATTTTCTATTTATCAAAATAAAAAATATTCTTAAAATATATTTAAATTCAATTATATATTAAATAATTTTTTTTTACAATGAGTATTAATTAATTTTTATTTTACGTTTATATTTTAAAATTATTTAAAATATTAAAGCATAAATATAATAGACTTATCCACGGCAAACGAGTAGTTATTTTAAGCTAGTTTTGACTCTAAAAGAAAGAAAGAAAGAAAAAAAAACCATTTGGAAAAACACCAAATGCAAATATATAACTTTGAAATTTCAAACAAGCACCCATTAAAAAATATTAATTAATGAAAAAGTAAAATAAAGCAAGCCTGAAAATATAATATAAGTAGTAAATAAATTTTGTAGTGAGCAATTTCTTTACCAAATTATTGCATTTACAATTCAAATCACAAAACACAATTTATATTCGACAAGAATCTCTAAAATGAGTAATAATAATCTCTTAATTTTTCTATCAAATCATTGCATTTAAAATACAAATTACAAAACATGACTTATATTCAGCAAAAGTCTTTAAAATAAGTAATAATAATCTCTTAATTTCTCCATCAAATCATTGCAATCAAGATCCAAATCACAAAAGATGACTTATTCGACAAAAGTCTCTAAAATAACTAAAAACAATCTCTCTCTTTCAAATTAAGAACGAAAAAAAAAAAACTCTCCATCAACTAGCACAACAATACCACTAGTTAAGACTTGTGCTACTGCTACTGCTACATTATCAAATAAAACATATTTTATTTATAGATATACCAACATTATATTTAATTAAAATCAAGAATATTTTAAGTGATTTAAAAATGCATAGACAGGTGCCTCTTTATTTTTTTTCTTTTTTTCTTTTTTTGCCTTAATTATTTTTTTATTTTTTTTACCATGTATATTCTTATATCAACTAGATGTGATTTAAATCCTCTTGAGCAATATTACATACATACAAGCATACACATATACATATGTATATATATATATACATGAAGAAAAGATACTCTCTTGATGATGATAATTAACCTAATTAAAAGACAATAATATTGAATTATTGTGTTGATTTTCTATGGTAAATTTCCATGGATGCAGAGAGCTCATTTTGGCCTTGTTTGATTACCACTACAAAATCCAATGAAGCTCAACTCATTGATAGCATCACGACCTGCTTTCATCTTCATCATTCTGGTACTAAACCTTTTAATTATAATAAAACTACTTACATGCATAATTCTTTAGCATTTAGTTTGTTTGATTTTCATCTTAATTACTGCTTCAAAAATACTGAGGAAAATATTTATTTTTCTCAATGATAATCACCTCTTCTTAAGTGGGATTTTCATCTAATAATTTAAAAAAAAAAAAAAAATCTTCAATAATTTTTTCTGAGCAAGTTAAAAACGAAATTCAAAGAAGATAGTGACAAGGAAAGCCAAATTTCCCAAGCAATCTCAAGTAATTTATTTGCTATAAGCTGGATTTAAGATCCCAACCACAATGCTGCTTTGTCCAATGAAAAAAAGACCCAATTAAAATAGATTGTACTTCGCAATATAAATAAATGTAATATTGGTGCGTTATTATACATGTATACATTATCATTCTCATTCACAATTATTGACACCTCATCACATATGTGGAACCTGCAAGCTTATATGGGCATTTTAACTGATAGCAACATTATATCTATTTATATTACAAACCATGTTTACACGGCCCTTTCTTAAATATTTCATATGAGCATGGTAAAAAGCAGGCAAAAAAGTATAACCAACTTAAATTCCAAGTTCTGTTGCAATTCCATGGCACAATGACAACCAATTCTCGAGGAAGACAAATGACAAAAAATACAATTCATTTGCTAATGTGTTCACAGCGTTTGTTCATGCATACTACTGCAATAGTATTTGCAACTTCACATTTGAGAGATGGTGAGAACTTTTCAAATGTTTTTAACAATAGAATCAACAAATTAGATGATGTTACACCTATTGCATTAATTAATTGCCCAAACCACTTGATATTTTTTCAAAGCAGTGGCATAAAGCAAACATTTGGCAGCATTACTTACCTTTTTGGATGAACGCAGCTCATAATATTGAGGAATACTACCACACAGATGTTCTGGAACCTCTAACAGATATGCCTCCTTTCCAACTGTGACATATGTAATCTGTAAAACAGGTCATGTGATGAGAGAACATATTATTTACAAAAACAGATTAAAAGAAGACTAATATTTCTGGAGAGGATCTTACTGATGTGTCCCCTAGTAACTTTTTTACAAGCAGAGTCCTACTCCATATCAACACCTTCATGAGGTACTATACGACCAGAATTGTTGGCTTCTACCCAATCAAAGGCACTCTTAAAATGTTTAAGAATTGGAAGGATGTCAGGACGACCTTTACCTACAATTGCATTACAAAATATGATGCCAAACTACAATCTTATAAAAAACATTAAAAGAATAAAAAGACTGAAAACTACCAGGTGTTAGCAAATGATGCAACTGTCCAGACTCCACATTTTCCAAAATGACAGCAAGTGAAGAACATGATAGGGCCGTAAACTTACAGCCATGTAGAGCAGATATAAACTCCTGAAGCTGCTTCTTTGCTGCATCTTCATGTAAAACTACTTTATTTGCATTTCTTCCATTGGCTTCGCTGTACTTCAATAAAGATAATAATGCATAAGAAACATATTTTTATGAAGATCAGTACTTGTAATGCTAGAAAAATTCATTTTGATGCATGCTTACTTCCTTCTTAGCTTTACCTGGCAGAAAATATGCGTGCAAGCAACCACTTCAGGTCTGGAAGCCTAGACAACACTTTTCGAAATTCAAGCATCTTGGCCTGATTTACCCCCTGAAAGCAGCTAGGATATCAGAATGAAAACTTAAACAGTAATTAGCAAGTTAGGGAAAGAAGCATAAAGGGAATGTAATTATCAAGTAGAACATTGAAAAGCACAAAAGATTCAGCTCAAAAATTAAGCATGCAAAATTATGAGTCCTCTCAATCATATGGAGGAAAGCACAGACTACACCTCAAGACCTTGAAAATCAAAAGATAATTACGGTCCATCAAAGTGAAAAATTGGAAGGGATAATTCGGAAAGAGTCCTACCCTTCAGCAATTTTGCTAGAAGTGGCTGGTCTCAAGCTTCGAACTTGCAACATTATAGTTGCAAGCCCAAGACTCAACTTTCGCAAACAAGCAATGAAGACCTTAAAAAAACTATTTTTTAAAAAACCTGGAACAAGAAAATGGCGAGAGAAAAGACAATAAACCATGCCAATAATTGTAGCCCCATATTTATTTGGGATCATAATGGTAATGCCGTTTTAGGTTCTACATTAATACACGGCCCATTAATTTTTGAAATGAAAATTGGCATAGGATTGCTAATAGACACTTTTTGTGAAAGAAACATCAATCCATAAACTGTAACGTTTAGTTCAAGCATTAGAGGTTCTGATTTCTTCACCGGAGTCTATAATTCCAAAATTATAAGGAAAAAAATTATAGAAAGAAAGATCACCATGTAAATTTATACTACTAGAAACTTACCTGCAGACCTGCTACAGCATCCAGGCGGTCTATAATTGATTCCAAATGGTATAATGGTCTTGCTAGCCATGTTTTCAGTAACCTCTTTCCCAATGGTGTCACACAATGATTCAATTGCGCATACAGTGTCCTTCATAGATGACAAAACATCTCAAACAAGGATCAGAAAAAAGAATAATTTTGGCATACTTATGTGCATATGACACCCTTACCCTGAAGAGTCTCCATTTCTTCTGTTCTCAAAAATCTCAAGGTTCTCCAGGGCAGCAGCATCAAGAATCATGTATGGTTTCTTAGCAACCTCACAGAAATCAGAGCAAAGAAGTGATTCAAATTTTGCAAATCTAGGAAATGTCTCATCCAAAAACACCTGTTTTAGATAATTGAGAGTGCCTCCAAGAGCTGAGAGAGCAAGGCTTCCATTCTCACCTTTATTAACAAACTCTGACAAAATGCTGGGCAGGCTGTTTGGCCCATCTTCTCAAACATCAAGGGTAGATGCATCCAAATCTGTTTTATTTAAGGGTCCACGATCCAAATGATCACCAATATGCTTAGAGATAGTTTTGACTTCCCGAAAAGTTTTCTCTGCATCCCCGAATTCTGAGAGGGGAGCCAACTTATTGACCAAGGGATTTCTAGTATGTCTCACCAGCACTCTCTCAGTTTCAGAGCTAAGCATTTTAGCAGGTTTTAAAATTTCTACCGGCCTCGGCTCAGATAATAGACAACACAATGAACTGCACTCAGCTTCATCCCCAAACTGGAAAAGAGATTGGCAACAAAAGGTATTAGCTCAGAAGATGACACTCAAAGGAGTAATCAACAAAGTCTCAACATACACAATCTCATCGACTAATACACAACAGAATCTGGGAAAAATTGACAAACCCGTCCAGGGATAATTCTGTCAGTGGTGACATCAACAACACATACACCAAAAATCCGCTCAAAAATTTGGTTTGTCAAACCCTGGCTACTTTCAGTCAGTGTCATTAGATAAGAAGCATCAGGATTTGCTGAAAGAAATTCCCCCTCAGTTAGTGTTCCTTTTGTAATCACCGCACATACTTCACGTTTTACAACCTAAACAAATGGGAAATAATTGTCAAAACTTGAGATGTAAGAAACTGACAAGAGAAAATCCTAAAACATTGTAGGAAAAAAAATTATAAAGACAAGTGATCCAACATGTGATTAATGGTAACATGTAATCTATGTTTCAAAGAGTTTCTGAAACTGATTTAAATATGGTCCTAAAGTGACTGCAGGTTGATCATCAACAAATAACAGAGTAGCAGGCTTAGTCAAATGCAGAAGAACAATGGGAGATGATACTCCAAGGTAAAAGTTGAAATCATTTCAGGAACATCATAAAATAAATTTGGACCTTGTCTTTAGAACCTTTCTCTTTGCGTCAAAGCTCTAACTGTTCTGGCATTTCTGTCTGCTCTAAAACAAGAACCCGATAACCCTGCTCTGTCAAGTCAGCTCTAGGAAAAATTTCCTTGGAGGAAAAAAAAAACGAGGCTTAATAAAAAAGAGAAGAAACTAAGTACAGGCCAACCTTTCTAGCCAATTTCTCCACATTCATCGAGAAGTTCTTCCCTGGAAAACCACAGTGAGGTTGTTCTCCCTAAGGATCCAAGGAGGAATCATAAATACTTGAGTCAAAATCCAAAGAAACACATAAATTCCAAAATATGTAGCCACGAATAGAGCACAAATGCCTCAAGCCAATTTTTATGCCTTCTGATTACAATGAGAAAGAGTCGACAAAGATAAGCAGAATCCAAAAGATAATACTCATGATCTTTAGCACTTAATGAATCATACCTTCATTTATTGCAAATCTAGTTCTTTAGCTCCTACATGGGCATCCATTTCAAAAAGCTCATAAAATTTGCCCATCTGCACCAGCAGAACCAATATATTTATCATTTGGCAAAACCCAGGAGAGTGAGATTTTGATGAATGCATGGAAATCTAAAACCTTATCCATATGCTTTGACTTGAACTCCCACCATTGTCTCTGCACATAACAATCAATGAAATTCAAGAAGACAACTCCTTAAATAATTATGAACCAATCAATGTTTGAAATCCTCTACCTGGCCACCTGTTAGACTCTTTACAAATTCAGGGGGCAAATGTAGAGTCTTGGGATCATAATCTACATTTCCAGGATGCCTTCTCTTTGCATCCATGCGTTCTCTGTTACAGAACCAAAGCAAGTAGCAACCACTGATAATGCTTCATTCAAAACAATAAATAGCACACTGTCCTCTACTTTAAAGTAATAACTATACCTGTACAGATGCTAACCCACATGTCACTGTGCTCTTTATTTATTTACATAATTATTTTGCTGGGGTTGCCCTGCTAAGTCAAGAGGCGCATCATTGGGTCTAAAGCACAAGATTCACATGGCTGAGAAGTGTTAGAAAAGAAAATATCACAGGCAGACAATGTACTGAAAGACGTCCATGTTTTCTCCATTCTCTTCGAAATGATGTATGATCATACAGGTATGAATGAAGACTAGAGCATATGGACCACATTGTTGCAATAAGAACTTATCCTCCAAGAAATGGAAACTTCTCAGCTTCACGCATGCTAAACCTTTCTGATGCGTCAGTCATCAAGGCATTATCAAAGCCATTAAACATCCTATCTGCAGTAAAGCATGCACAAATTCAACAACAGAGACATGTGACCTAATTGTCATTCTTTTTACTTCTTATGGGAATGCATAACCTTGTTATAGCCCCTTCTATTCCAAAGTTTTATGGAAGCAAACATTTACAGTAACAAAATCAAAATCCTTGGGCAGTAGCCATGATCATAGCACGAATGAAGATGCTATTGCCAAGACAAACATATCCAAATAGATCATACAAATAAAAAAGAAGCCCTTTCAAATTGTAAGGAAAACTCCCATATAATGTCAACCGAAAAATCAGTATTTTCAGTGGATCCAACAATACTATGCTTGTTATTGACTTCAGTGCACGCTCTTAGGTTTTCCTAAACAAAATGTGATGTACCATGTCATAAATTTCTTCCAACAGCCCCCTTCTCCCAAACAAATAGAGAAAGGGAAAAAAATTACTTACTCTCCTTATTCTTTACAGGATCCAGAACTGAAACCTTGAATTCCCCAGTACTCACATCCCCACCACTCTTTTCCTTATTTCCCAAATCCAACTTCCCACCTTCTCCACTCGCTTTCCTTTTCCTCGAAACACTCTTGCCACCTCTCTTTCCTTTCTTGTCCTCATCCACCAAATCCACATCCTCCTCCTCACTAACCTCCTTCTCCACGTTCTTTCCCCAATCTTCATCACTCGAACCGTCACCACCACCAGCACCGCCAATATCCTCCTCAACATTCTCCATCTCTTAAATCTTCAAGCACCATCTTCCTAAAACCCAAAGAACCCCTGCGCAACCTCTTAAATTTTTTAACACTTGGCTCAACCCACTCAATCTTTTCATTGCTCAAATCCAACAATTCCTCTTCGAAATCATCATATTGTACCAAATGCTTCTTCGAATCATCGTCATAAGATCTGACACAACCAGCTCTTATCCAACAGCCAGTAAACCCTAATCCTCTTCTCCACCACCTCGTTGCCATACACTCCAATTGTTGAAGGAGATAGCGACGGGGTTTGTCCAATGACTAGTAGGGGTTTTCTAGGCTTAGATTGGAGTGGCGAAGGAGTAGTTGGGCTAGAACTAGGGCTTTGCCTTTGAGGGCTAGGTTTAGGGTTAGGTTTAGCATCAGATATGGGGATTTGTTGTTTAGAGAGCGTGGGAGAAGGAGATGGAGAAGGAGTCGTCGTTTTGGAGAAGAAGGCAGTTATTTGGCGCTGTGGATTCACTGTTGGTGATCTGCCGTTGCTCTGTTTACGCGACGATGCCATTTTTTCAATCTTGAATTTTTTTTATTTTTTATTTTTCCTTATCCGGCTTCGATCGAGAGAGTGAGTGGCAGAAACGAGAGCGACTGGGAAGATGAAGAACGAAAAAGCGGAAAGTGGAGATAGTTTGTTTTTACACTTGGATATATTAATAAAATAGTTTGGAATGTGGCGGGAATTTGAGGGAAATTCCTGGCAAGTGTTCTCGATCGTCGTTGATTGCGGGAATTTGGGATATCATTCCTTGCGGGCATTGGGGGTATGAAGCTTTCTCTGGTTCATCTATTCTTAAGTTTATACTAGTTTGGATCTCTTGATCTTATTTGCTCTCATGTCAATTCTTCATTCTCAATTTCGCCATTTATCAAGTCCGTAAAAAATAATATCAAATTGCGTTATTAAATATATATATATATATATATATATATATATATATATATATATATATATATAAAAAAAAAATTGGACCGAGATCCCATCTTAACAATTTAATGTCTAATTACTTCATCGATACATGCATGAAGTTTTTTTCTTTTTTTTTTCCTGTTCCAATCACAAGCTTCACGAGAGACATAGATTTAAAGAGACAAAAACAAATTGGATTTTTTAAGATTTTTGAAATGGGAAAAAGAATAATTAGTTTGATGTTTTAGATTTTTATTGCATAATTTATTTTAAAATTCTATGAAATATTTATTTTTAATTAATTCCTATTTAATTTAAATGACATATGGTGGAACTTGGTGTATTTAATAAAAAATTGAATAGTCAATATTTTTATAACGAGAAAATGATAAAATTTATCTAAAAAATAATAATTTAGGATTCAAATAGTCTAAATAAACAATATACATCTTGTTTTACCATAGCTACAATAGTTTAAAGATAAATTATATTGTTAAGCCCCCAAAGAGGTATCTCAATTTTCGCAATCTATGTAGAAGAATAACAACTATGAAAACGAGCACTCATCTATGGATCTTTATAAAAAAGGTCAATCGAATCTTAAAATTTTCTAGTGTTGCAATCGATAAAATCAATTTCATAATACGAAACATTTTTTGAGATTTTTCTTTCCTTTTCTTTTCTTTTCGCTTTTTTTTTTTTTTGTGAAGAAATAAGAAGGTTTCGGTACTCATCCATTACACATTCATAATACAAAACATTTATTAATTTTTTCAAGATATATACTACTTATGAGTTAGTTATAACATAGCCACAATAATTTATTAAAAATATATTTAGTTTTTATTACATTAGAAATAATTGCTTGACCTAGATTTACCATCCTCAATGGCAAAATATAGAAGAGAAAAGAATCCGTATTGATATTGTGTACAACTTTATATTAGAGAAAAGTCTTGTTTATATACAAATGGAGGAGCTATAGATAGAAATATGATAGGTGGTGAAAAGACTTGTGATTTGTGAGTCAAAGATTAAGCAAATCATTAACAACCTCCATCAAACTCGGTGCGATAAGGACTCGGACAATCGAAGTTTGCCAACAAGATCACAAAATCGATGATTTGAAAGTGTTTTGGTGAATATGTCTGCAGCTTGATTTTGAGAAGAGATTGAAACAAGGTTGATTGGTGCCCCGGCTAACATGACAGCGTACAAAGTAGTAATCAATCTCAATATGCTATACACATTCATTAAAAACATCATTGTGAGCAATTTGCATGGCATTGTGATTGTCACGGTGAAGTGATGTAATGGAAGTTTGTTGAATATCTATATCTTGAAGCAACCAACAAAGCCATAGAAGCTCAAAAGTTGTGTTTGTTAAAGCTTGATATTTAGCTTGCGTACTTAGAACGCGAAACAATAGTCCGTTTCTTACTATGCCAAGATATAAGAGAGTCACCAAGGAATAAGCGAGTAACCAATATTAGAGCATCGATCGGTTGGATCAACAACCCAATCAGCATCGAATAAACTGGTAAGCAAAGAAAAAAAATTTGAATTAATGAAGGCCATGAAATAAAGTGCCTTTGATATAACGAAGAATACGAAGAACGGCTACATAACGATACGAGCTATGTATGCCATATCTAGATGATTAACTATAAGATGGATAAGAATATCAACTAATTGACGAGTATAGAGCACTCGTCACCAAATAGAGAGCCATCAAAGGTTAAGAGATGAACATTTGCCTCAATATGAGTATTAGTAGTTTTATCATTAGTAAGTCATGTATAAGAGATGGGATCGATGGCATCTTTAGCTTACGGCAAATAGCATCTTAAAGAATCGAAGAAACTTTAAGACCCAAAAAATAACTCAAATGACCAACATCCTTCATTTTAAACTCATTAGTCGAGAAAAGTCTTGAGATTATCAATGCTACGTAGAACATCTCCAATAATAATCATATCATCAATATACGAGTAATAACATAATACTCTCCGTTATAGTTATGTGAATAAAGAATGCATAATCACAAGTGGCTAGACTGAAAATCAATCGGCAAACAATGGAGTATACAAAGCCTTATGAATACGACATGCTTTATTTCGAGGGTGATCACAATCGAGATGAGGTTGCATATAGACCCTTTTTGTGAGATCACCATTAAGAAAGGCATTTTTTATATCCATCCGAAATAAGGACCAATGTTTATAGTTGTAATGGCAATAAGACTACGAGCGAAGTAATTCAAGCCACCGGAACAAAAGTTTAGTCATAATCAATCCCATGCTTTTATGTAAATTTTTTTTGCAACAAAGCAAGTTGTATGCCTTTCTATAGAGCCATCAACTCTAGTTTTAATTTTATAAACCCATTTACAACCAACTATAGATTTTTTAGAAAGTAGATCAACCAAATCCCAAGGGCATTTACTAATAAAAGCCTAAAGTTCTTCGATTATTGCTTTATACCAAAAAAGGTTAGTACTAGTTTCACATAAGTATAAGGTTCATACAAAAAAACAAGAGTAGAGTAACCATGATAATTATGAAGAGTAACATTGGATTGACTTACTCGAGAAGAACATACGAGTGGAAGATCATAAGAAGATTGAGTATCCATTGAGGATGAAACAATAATATTTACATGCAATTCGGATCCATTTATAAGAGGTTGAAAGTTGATCAATCATGTTAGAGTGATGAGAACTTGTTACAAAATCTTCAAGAAACAAAGGAAGGGTAGGATCGGTGAGAAATGATGAGGTGGAGTGGACCTAAAATTGAGAGAGGGAGGAAAACATTTTATGCTTCTAAAAGGTAACATGATAGGATATTTTAAGATGATTGGAAATGAAATCCCAACATTTACAACCTTTGTGTTCAATTTCATATCCTAAGAAACAATATAAATGAGCTCGTGGTTCTAATTTAGTGTGCTTGTGAGGTCAAAAAAGAACAAAGCTAACACAACCAAAGACTTTAAAAGTTTGATAATCAAAAGCATGACCATATAGATGTTCAACATGTGCCATGTTACCATGACGAGGAGATAGAATACGATTTATAGTGTCTATAGCGAGTAAGAGTTACTTCCCTTTAGAAAGTTTCATAATAAGAATAGGAAATAAACAATGTCCAAACAATATCTAAGATGTGTCTATGTTTTCTTTCTATACGACCATTTTGTTGGGAAATACATGGACAAGAAAGTTATATTATAGTGCTTTGTTGGAAAAAGAATTGTGAAAAAAGTGGATCCTCGATGTTCCATAGCATTATCCGTATGAAAAAGTTTTGATATGACAAGAGAATTGAGTTTTAACTATGTTAGCAAATTAGATATAAATAGTGGGTAACTATGATCTATTTTTCATAAGATAAATCCCACAACGAGAGTAATCACCGATAAAAATGATAAAATATCATGATCCATCCATAATAGGAGCAAGGGTAGGTTTCCAAATATAAAAATGGATTGAATCAAATAGGGAAGAAGAAATAAAATCATTTATATTAAAAGGCAAAGCATGATGTTTGGAAAGTTGACATTAAACACAATTAAAATATTTTGATTTGACGGATCCCGGACAACCACTAAAAACTAAAAGACTTGATTTAAATGAGGAAATGTGACCAATACGAGAATGTCATAGACTCAAAGAAATGCAACAACAATTTAGGATGGAAGTTAGAGAGAAATTAACTAAAATAGTTAACCAAACCGACACCATGTCTTGAGGATATTTCCCATGTATGGATAATGCACAACACAACTACAACTAAAAAATATAAATCAATGCCAAGTTCACATAATTGTTTAACATAAATAAGATTGATGGATAATTTAGATTCATAAAAGGTATTTTGGTAAAGACAATTGAGAAGGGGAAATAGAACCTATGATATTAACATGTAAGATAGAACTATCGGTAGCATGGACAATAAGAGCAACATGGGGACATGACTTAAAGGAAAATATGGTGGAGTTAAAGGTTATGTGATTGCAACAAGTAGAAAAAAAAAACTAATAAGTGAGAATTACCCGGAGTGACAAACATGAGATAAGAAGTAGGAATACCATAGTCGGCTTGAATTTATTGAAGAAAAGCCCGAAGATCTTAAAAAGTAAATTTTGGAGAAGTAGACTCAAAAATAGAATCCTTAATGGTAACGAAGTAGTAAATGATCTTACGAGCCGGGAAGGCTAACACGTGAGGCTTGGTTAAAGTAGTTTGTCAAGATTTTTCAACTTGTAAACGACTAAACTCAACAATAATATGCCATGATTTCTTACACTATCTCGCAAAAGGTTTTGTTACCGAAACATGAGTAGTAAGCACAACATCTATAAAATGCAAAGATCGTTCAACACTAAGAGTGATGAGGTGAGTTTTCTAAAAAATTACCTCTCTTATGATTAAGTCAAGTTTAGGTAGTGGACTATAATGGAGAAGAACAATACAAATAGATCTAGACTCAATTCGGAAAGTAATAAGTAAATGCCAAACCCATTGGCAATCACAAAAATTGACATATAGAATAGTAAAGGCTATATCCGACCAAATAAGATCGCAACTAGCTAACACATCTCAAATAGCTTGTAATTCGAAATGTACCTATGAATAGTTTGATCGAGTCATTATTGCATATGATAAAGACGACGATAAGGTTAAAATTGGTGAACATCATTAGAGACCGCACAACGTTGATATAAAAAATTTCAAACTTTTTTAGCGATATCAAAATGACGAAATTCCAATTTAATGCTAGAAAGACAAGTATTGCAAAACCAAATCACAATTTGATGATTTTTGTTATCCCATTAATCTAGTCTTTTTTATGAATTTAAGCATCATTCTCATGTGTTATTTTGGTGGGTTTAGAGATTTCTTCGGTGAGAAACTGCTAAAAAAGACAATCTTTCAAGTAACTACATATCTCTTGAGCTCATAGATCATAATTGGTTCCATAAAAAACAACAAAGATAGGACGTGTGATAGCTTGAGGAGAATGAAAATTGTCATGAGTAGCCATAGGGGAAGAAAGTATCGTGATGATGAATAATAATAACCAAGCTTGGAAGTAGTTTGTAGGGGTTGAATAATTGGTCGCTCATATTACAAGAGTAGGAAAAAAAAAAGATGATAAAATGCCCATAAAAAAAAAATCAAATCAATAAATAGAGTATAACTATGATACCATGACAAAATATAGAAGAGAAAAGAATTTGTATTGATATCGTGTACAATTTTACATTAGATAAGAGTCTTATTTATGTGCGGAGAGAGAAGCTATAGATAGAAAAGTGGTAGGTGATAAGAGATTTAAGCTCGAATAGGAACCTACGAAACTCATAATTTATGTGTCAAAGATTGAACATATCATTAATACTCAATTTAATATTTTTTTCTTTCTCAAAATTCCTTTTTCCTTGTTAAATTTTCACATCTCACTCACTTCTCTTTTTTCTAAAATCATTTGGTGCTTTTAAGATTATTTAGCACATATAGAAAATTAAAACTACTTAAATATGTCAATAGCTTGTTGTTTTAATGCTAAATGAGCATTTTTAAAAGTGTTTATTATATAATTAAGAGTTTGAATTTCATCTATTGCAATATGTAGATTGTGACATTATGTCCTACCGCATGATCATAACTATCCTCGAAAAGTTATAAATAATAGTGTGATGTGGACACAATATTTTTTGTCAAAAATATAAAAGTATTGCTAAATTCACTAATCAAGCTATTTCAATCATTTTGTTCGGATAATTAGCAATGCACCTTTTATCAATCATTATTACACAACAAATATTGTTGGTGGATATATTAATAATTATATTAAAAAACGGTGAAAATAATAATATAATTGACGAATTTATTAGTGCCCAAATATAAAATAAAATAGCTTATCAACCTTTCCATTTTCAACACTAGAGTGCTTTGGTGAATCTAATGCAAAGATGCAATTCGTGAACAAAGGACCACGCATTGGTACAGGGGTTGAAATGCTCGTCTAGAAACCCGATCGATGCTCGATAGACGAGATGTTGACAAGGTAGTGATAAAAGAAGGCAAATCTTCTTTTCTTTTATTAGTTCATTTTTGTTATTGAAAATTATGTATTTTCAAGTCAGCCTTTTTCATATTATAACTAAATTCATTCTTTATTATTTTTTTTAAAAAAACCATTTCTATTTAAACTAGTATATTCATGAAAAGAATTTTCTCGCTTTTTTCTAAACTTGAATATAAGTTAAGAAACAAATGCACTTACTACTTAAGAGCGCATGACGAGTTGTATTTTTTATTTGAGAGAAATTCATGATGGAGTAGAGTAAAAAACAAAACATTCCAAGAGCCATTTCGTCGCTTTCAGGATCCTCTCGGGACATTTAGCATCTCTAGTTTTCCAAAACAAATTAAATAGTCTCTTCAAAAAATAATTATTTAATTTATTTGACAAATGATAATCATGATTAATTTAGTATTATTTTATTAAAAAAATCTTATTTTCTTATCAATTTTCCATAGTTTTTCTTTTCCTTTCTTCCTTTTGTATTTATTGAAACAAAATAGCAAAATAATTTGAAAAATGAAAAGGGTTATACTTGGTTTTAAAGAAATATAGAGACTGATTAATTAATTATTGAAACTAGAGAGACTATTTAATTTCATTCGAAAAATTAGAGTAACTAATTTATAATTTACTCCAACAGATCGGAAAAAAAAACCTTCGCACAACACCCCCTTCATCATTGATCTAACTTAAAAAAAAAACCATTTCAAGCTTCATCACCAATAGAAATAGTGTCTTGCACGTAGTTTTAAGTTCACTCAATTCTAGTGAGCAAAAAAAAAGAACAACTTATTCCGTTGTAGTTTCCTAAGATGACAACTTATTCCGTTGAAGTTTCCTAAGACGAGTTTTGTGAAACTTAACATAGATAATTCAGTTGTTGCTATCAATGCGATTAATGGTTTATTAACCTTAGCAGGACGGTTAATTCAGGAGTTTTTAGATAATTGGTTATATGTTGCTTATAACATTGGCATATATTATGTGTTGAAAGCAGAATTGTGGAGAATCTTGGTTGGTTTAGAACTAGTCTGAGAAGTTAATTTTAAACTGGCTATTGACCTTCTCACAAATAAAGATCATTTGACATATTTTTATAGCTAGTTAACTCTCCATTTGTCGACTATTAGAGCGTTCTTAGAAAGTTCAACTTTGCCACATCTATCGTGAAGGTGATAGACATGCACACTAGTTAGCTAATTATGCTCAATCTCTAGATATGGGAATCCAACATTTTTTCTAGAAGCTTTTATAGGATGTTTAAGACTTGTATTAAAAGATATTTGTGAGATCTTCTATCCCTAGATGATATAATCGTATTTTTCTAGGGTCTTCCCCTCATTCTATTAAAAAAAAGACCAGCCAATTTCCTCTGGCCATGCTGAACCATACGCTGTTACACATTGTAACATCACAAAACAGCGAGATAGATGAGGCAAAATAAACCCCAAATGTCCTTCACTAAAGCCCCCAGCACCGGAAAACCCTTTAACAAAGAAGCTTCCTTTAAACTCCTCAAGGCTCGAGCAGAAGGAAACCATCCACCTAACACGAGGTGTAGCATCCTCAACCTGTGCCAAATGCACATCAAACCCACTAGATCTACCAAGATTAGCCACCTCAAAAGCTTCAACAGACTGATTCTCTTTTCAACCAAATGCATGCATAGGATCATTCCTTCTCCCATTTCATAAGAAACTGATATGACTATTCCATACAAAAGCAATTTCAACGTACATCTAGGTTTTCATGAAAGAGTAAAGCATCCATTCAAATTTACCAAGAAAAAGTGAACCACTATTGCAAGCCAGAATAGCAATAAATAATAATAAATGAATTAACGAACCCAAAATGATAACACCTGGAACTAGGATAAGCATACCCACTAGACGTTGCTCCGATCATTCCATACCAAAGCAATTTGAAAAGAAATGATAATAAATCGGAAAACAAAAGGAACAATCACATTCCTACAGAGAAACAGATTGCCTTTTTTTTTTTTTTTTTTAAATGAAGAACGAAGAGAGAATGTCAAAGTTTGAGCAAGGAAGTTCTGAAACGAAATGCTGATAGGTTCAACAACCAGTCATCTGCAAACAATTAACTGCCGACAAATAAACTTGTGCACTAAACACCATATGGTTCTGTTAATAAGGGGATTACATTAACCATCCATACATACCAACGGCAACCATTAATTTCACTTTAAACACCGCCCATAACTTCCAAAAACAGAAAATAAATAAATAATAATAATAATAATATTCAGAATAAAGCGTAGCCTAAGGAAATCAACCAAAAATCTGTACAGAGAAAATAGGGCTAATTTACATACTTTAGTAGTTCACATTACACGAGTGACAAATCTCAAGAACAAATAACCGGAGAAAAAAACAAATACACAAACGAGCTAATACACAATCAAAGTCCTCAAGCATACATATGAATTGCAATCTAATTGTAACAGATATTCACCAGTCAGTCAGCAACAGGGGGAGCTGAATTATAACATTCAGTGACAATTTTTCTTGAACATAAGAGAGTGGAGAGGAGAGTGGCAAAAGAAATGGAACTTTACTATGAGAATCACTGAAACTACAATCAGGAGAAGAATAAAGCATACGAGACATGGGCAGAGAGCCACCACCAGGAATGCACGCTTGCTCTCCCCGCCGTCGTTCCCCACATTCTCCTCATGATCTTCCTTGTCTTTGATCCACAGAGAGTAGCTCCGTGGCAGAGCATCACTACCACTAGGCTTGCCCATTGAAAATGCAAGTGATCTGATTGTACTCAAGCACGACAAGATCTAAGTTTTATCTGCCCAAGACAGTAGTAGTGCGGTGGTGTGGTGGCAGGTAGGTAGCTAGATCGGTGGTTGTGTTTCGAGTAAGGAAAGAGCAACAAACGGTAAGGCTGTTAGTTTGTCTGTCTCGCGAACGGATGAACCCTTTCTCTGGGCCTGATTAACTTGAGACTTTGCTTTGACCAGGCCATGTCAGCCTTGTAACAAAGCCCATTTTAGAAAACTGCTTTGGGATAAAGCTTCTTTGCTTTCCCAAAATTCCATAGACACGAGGTTGCCTGCCACGTGCACTGTTTAAAGCTTAATTTGATATCATTACAGCATCTCCAAAAGAGTTCTCTGTTTTTAGTTAACTTTTTTAATATAAATAGAAAGTAAGTTTAATTATATAGGTTGAAAATCAATGTCCTCTCTAATATTATTTTTTATTTTAATTTTTTATTTTGACAAAATTCATAAAACCTGAAAAACTATTGGTGAAGAGTATGAGTGACATAGAAAATAGTAATTTTCATTAATGAAATATAAAATAAAGAGTTATATTCTTTATTATTGGAGAGCCAAAGACACTCTGTATCTTAATCTTAAAGATAGAGATTGTAATAAAGAGAGCATTAAAGATGAAATTTGACTCAAACCTCTTTATTAGTAAAGAAAAATCTTAATATAAAGAGAGTATTGAAGATGCTATTACTCTTTACTCTATATTATTTTACACCCTCTTCTTTTATTAATAGTGATGTCAATTCTTTGCTCTCCATTCTATCACTAATTGAAATGGTGTTAAATTCTTATTAAATACACCAAGTTTCATCATGTGTCATTTAAATTAAATAGGCAATAATTAAAAATAAAAATGTTACAAAATTTGAACATAAATTATGTAATAAAAATCTAAAACATCAAAATAATTATTCTTTTTCCCTTTTCAAAAATATTAAAAAATCCAATTTGTTTTTGTCTTGTTAAATCTATGTCTCTAATGAAGCGTGGGATTGGATAAGGGGGAAAAAAAACTTCATGTACATTTTGATGAAGTAATTAGACGTTGAGATGGTTAGGGTGGGATCTCGGTCCGATTTTTTTTTTTTTTTAAATATTTAATAACGATATTATTTTTTATGGACTAGATTAATGGCAAAATTGAGAATAAAGAATTGACATGAGTGCAAATAAGAGGAAGAGATCCAAACTAGTATAAAAATAGAAGAACCGCAATCCCCGCAAGGAACGATATCCCAAATTCCCGCCAATTAACGACGATCGAGAACACTTGCCGGGAATTTCCCTCAAATTCCCGCCACATTCCAAACAATTTTATCAATATATTCAAGCGTAAAAACAAACTATCTCCACTTTCCACTTTTTCATTCTTCATCTTCCCAATCGCTCTCACTTCTGCCGCTCACTCTCTCTGTTCAGTCTCTCCATCGAAGCCGGATAAGAAAAAAAAGATAAAAAATTCAAGATTTAAATAATGGCACCGTCGCGTAAACAGAGCAACGGCAGATCACCAATAGTGAATCCACAGCGCCAAATAACTGCCTTCTTCTCCAAAACGACAACTCCTTCTCCATCTCCTTCTCCGGCACTCTCTAAAAAGCAAATCTCCATATCTGATACTGAACCTAACCCTAACCCTAGCCCTCAATTCCAAGACGCTAGTTCTAGCCCAACTACTCCTTCGCCACTCCAATCTAAGCCTAGAAAACCCCTACTAGTCATTGGACAAACCCCGTCGCTATCTCCTTCAACAACTGGAGTGTATGGCAACGAGGTGGTGGAGAAGAGGATTAGGGTTTACTGGCCGTTGGATAAGAGCTGGTACGAGGGTTGTGTCAAATCTTATGATGGTGATTCGAAGAAGCATTTGGTACAATATGATGATTTCGAAGAGGAATTGTTGGATTTGAGCAATGAAAAGATTGAGTGGGTTGAGCCAAGTGTTAAAAAATTTAAGAGGTTGCGCAGGGGTTCTTTGGGTTTTAGGAAGATGGTGCTTGAAGATGAAGAGATGGAGAATGTTGAGGAGGATATTAGCGGTGCTGCTGGTGATGATGATTCGAGTGATGAAGATTGGGGAAAGAATGTGGAGAAGGAGTTTAGTGAGGAGGAGGATGTGGATTTGGTGGATGAGGAAGAAGAGGATGATGGCAAGAAAGGAAAGAGAGGTGCGAAGAGTGATTCGAGGAAAAGGAAAGCGAGTGGAGAAGGTGGGAAGTTGGATTTGGGAAAGAAGGTAAAGAGTGGTGGGGATGTGAGTACTGGGGAATTCAAGGTTTCAGTTCTGGATCCTGTAAAGAATAAGGAGAGTAAGTAATTTTTTTCCGTTTCTCTATTTGTTTGGGAGAAGGGGGTTGTTGGAAGAAATTTATGACATAGTGCATCACATTTTGTTTAGGAAAACCTAAGAGCATGCACTGAAGTCAATAACAAGAATAGTATTGTTGGATACGCTGAAAATACTGATTTTTGTTTAACGATATGTGGGAATTTTCCTTACAATTTGAAAGAGCTTTTTTTTTTTTTTATATGTTTGTCTTTGCAATAGCATCTTCATTCATGCTATCATCATGGCCACTGCCCAAGGATTTTGATTTTGTTACAGTAAATGTTTGCTTCCATAAAACTTTGGAATAGGAGCTATAACAAGGTTATACATTCTCATAAGAAGTAAAAAGAATGACAATTAGGTCACATGTCTCTGTTGTTGAATTTGTGCATGCTTTACTGCAGATAGGATGTTTAATGGCTTTGGTAATGCCTTGATGAATGACGCATCAGAAAGGTTTAGCATGCGTGAAGCTGAGAAGTTTCCATTTCTTGGAGGGTAAGTTCTTATTGCAACAATGTGGTCCATATGCTCTAGTCTTCATTCGTATCTGTATGATCGCACATCATTTTGAAGAGAATGGAGAAAACATGGACTTCTTTCAGTACATTGTCTGCCTGTGATATTTTCTTTTCTTACACTTCTCAGCCATCTGAATTTCGTGCTTTAGACTCAATGATGTGCCTCTTGAATTAGCAGGGCAATCCCAGCAAAATAATTATGTAAATAAATAAAGAACACAGTAAATGGTTGACATATGGGTTAGCATCCGTACAGGTCTAGTTATTACTTTAAAGTAGAAGACAGTGTGCTATTTATTGTTTTGGATGAAGCATTATAAGTGACTGCTACTTGCTTTGGTTCCGTAACAGAGAACGCATGGATGCAACGAGAAGGCGTCCTGGAGACGTAGATTATGATCCCAGGACTCTACACTTGCCCCCTGAATTTGTAAAGAGTCTAACAGGTGGCCAGGTAGGGGATTTCAGACATTGATTGGTTCACAATTATTTAAGGAGTTGTCTTCTTGAATTTCATTGCTTGTTATGTGCAGAGACAATGGTGGGAGTTCAAGTCAAAGCATATGGATAAGGTTTTATTTTTCAAGGTATGAGCATAAGTCAGATAGATTTCCATGCATTCATCAAAATGTCACTTTCCTGTGTTTTGCTAAATGATAAATATATCGGTTCTGCTGGTGCAGATGGGCAAGTTTTACGAACTTTTTGAAATGGATGCCCATGTAGGAGCTAAAGAACTAGATTTGCAATATATGAAGGTATGATTCATTAAGTGATAATGATCATGAGCATTATCTTTTGGATTCTGCTGTTCTTTGTTGACTCTTTCTCATTGTAATCAAAAGGCATAAAACTTGGCCTGAGGCATTTGTCCTCTATTCTTGGGTACATATTTTGGAATTTATGTGTTTTTTTTTGGATTTTGACTCAAGTATTCATGATTCCTCCTTGGATCCTTAGGGAGAACAACCTCACTGTGGTTTTCCAGAGAAGAACTTCTCGATGAATGTGGAGAAATTGGCTAGAAAGGTTGGCCTGTACTTAATTTCTTCTCTTTTCTATTTAGAGTCGTTTTTTTTTTTTTTTTTTTTTTTTTGTCTCCAAAGGAAATTTTACTTGAGCTGCCTTGACAGAGCAGGGTTATCGAGTTCTTGTTGTAGAGCAGACAGAAACACCAGAACAGTTAGAGCTTCGACGCAAAGAGAAAGGTTCTAAAGACAAGGTCTGAATTTATTTTATGATGTTCAAGAAAAGATTTCAACTTTTACCTGGGAGTATCATCTCCCATTGTTCTTCTGCATTTTACTAAGCCTACTACTCAGTTATTTGTTGATGATCAACCTGCAGTCGCTTTAGGACCATATTTAAATTAGTTTCAGAAACTCTTTGAAACGTAGATTATATGTTAACATTAATCACATGTTGGATCACTTGTCTTTATAATTTTTTTTTCCTACATTGTTTTAGGCGTTTCTCTTTTCAGTTTCTTATATCTCAAGTTTTGACAATTATTTCCCATTTGTTTAGGTTGTAAAACGTGAAGTATGTGCGGTGATTACAAAAGGAACACTAACTAATGGGGAATTTCTTTCATCAAATCCTGATGCTTCTTATCTAATGGCACTGACTGAAATTAGCCAGGGTTTGACAAACCAAAGTTTTGAGCGGATTTTTGGTGTTTGTGTTGTTGATGTCACCACTAACAGAATTATCCTTGGACAGGTTCGTCAATTTTTCCCAGATTTGTTGTGTATTAGTAGATGAGATTGTGTGTGTCGAGACTTTGTTGATTACTCCTTTGAGTGTCATCTTTTGTGCTAATACCTTTTGTTGCGAATCCCTTTTCCAGTTTGGGGATGATGCTGAGTGCAGTTCATTGTGTTGTCTATTATCTGAGCTGAGGCCCGTAGAAATTATAAAACCTGCTAAAGTGCTTAGTTCTGAAACTGAGAGAGTACTGGTGAGACATACTAGAAATCCCTTGATCAATGAGTTGGCTCCTCTCTCAGAATTCTGGGATGCAGAGAAAACTGTTCTGGCAGTCAAAACTATCTATAAGCATATTGGTGATCATTCAGCTTCTGGACCCTTAAATAAAACAGATTTGGATGCATGTACCCCTGATGTTCGAGAAGATTGGCCAAGCAGGCTACCCGGCATTTTGTCAGAGTTTGTTAATAAAGGTGAAAATGGAAGCCTTGCTCTCTCAGCTCTTGGAGGCATTCTCTATTATCTAAAACAGGCTTTTTTGTACGAGACATTGCTTAGATTTGCAAAATTTGAATCACTTCCTTGCTCTGATTTCTGTGAGGTTGCTAAGAAACCATACATGATTCTTGATGCTGCTGCCCTGGAGAACCTCGAGATTTTTGAGAACAGCAGAAATGGAGACTCTTCTGGGTAAGGGTGTCATATGCTCATAGATATGCCAAAATTACTATTTTTTTTTTCTCATCCTTGTTTGAGGTGTTTTGTCATCTATGAAGGACACTGTATGCGCAATTGAATCATTGTGTGACACCATTTGGAAAGAGGTTACTGAAAACATGGCTAGCAAGACCATTATACCATTTGGGATCAATTATAGACCGCCAGGATGCTGTAGCAGGTCTGCGGGTAAGTTTCTAGCAGATATACATTTACATGGTGATCTTTCTTTATTTTTTTTCCTTATAATTTTGGAATTGTAGACTCTGGTGAAGAAGTTAGAACATCTAATGCTTGAACTAAATGTTACAGTTTGTGGATTGATGTTTCTTTCAGGAAAGGTGTCTATTAGCAATCATATGCCAATTTTCATTTCAAAAATTAATGGGCTGTGTATTAGTGTAGAACCTAAAACGGCATTACCATTGTGATCCCAAATATGGGCTACTATTATGGGCATGGTTTATTGTCTTTTCTCTCGCCATTTTCTTGTTCCAGGTTTTTTTAAAAAATAGCTTTTTAAGGTCTTCATTGCTTGCTTGCAAAAGTTGAGTCTTGGGCTTGCAACTATAATGTTGCAAGTTCAAAGCTTGAGACCAGCCACTTTTAGCAAAATTGGTGAAGGTTAGGACTGTTTCCGAATTATCCCTTCCAATTTTTCTCTTTGATGGACCATGATTATCTTTTGGTTTTTCAAGGTCTGGAGGTGTATAGAGGCTGTGCTTTCCTCCATATGAGTAAGTGGAGGTGTATAGAGGCTGTGCTTTCCTCCATATGATTAAGTGGACTCATAATTTTACATGTTTAATTTTTGAGCTGAATCTTTTGTAATTTTCAATGTTCTACCTGATAGTGACATTCCTTTTATGTTTTCTTTCCCAACTCGTTAATTACTGTTTAAGTTTTCATTCTGATATCATAGCTGCTTTCAGGGGGTAAATCAGCCCATGATGCTCGAATTTCGAAAAGCATTGTCTAGGCTTCCGGACATGGAGCGGTTGCTTGTACGCATATTTTCTGCCAGGTAAAGCTAAGAAGGAAGTAAGCATGCATCAAAATGAATTTTTCTAGCGTTCCAAGTACTGATTTTCATAAAAATATGTTTCTTATGCATTATTATCTTTATTGAAGTACAGCGAAGCCAATGGAAGAAATGCAAATAAAGTAGTTTTATATGAAGATGCAGCAAAGAAGCAGCTTCAAGAGTTTATATCTGCTCTACATGGCTGTAAATTAATGGCCGTAGCATGTTCTTCACTTGCTGTCATTTTGGAAAATGTGGAGTCTGGACAGTTGCATCATTTGTTAACACCTGGTAGCTTTCAGTTTTTGATTCTTTTAATGTTTTTTATAAGATTGTAGTTTGGCATCATATTTTGTAATGCAAGTGTAGGTAAAGGTCTTCCTGACATCCTTCCAATTCTTAAACATTTTAAGAGTGCCTTTGATTGGGTAGAAGCCAACAATTCTGGTCGTATAATACCTCATGAAGGTGTTGATATAGAGTATGACTCTGCTTGTGAAAAAGTTAAAGAGGTAGAATCTAGTTTGACTAGACACCTGAAAGAGCAAAGGAAATTACTAGGGGACACATCAGTAAGATCCTGTCCAGAAATATTAGTCTTTTCCTCTTAATTTGTTTTTGTGAATAATATGTTCTCTCATCATATGACCTGTTTTACAGATTACATATGTCACAGTTGGAAAAGAGGCATATCTGTTAGAAGTTCCAGAACATCTGCGTGGTAGAATTCCTCAAGATTACGAGCTGCGTTCATCCAAAAAGGTAAGTAATGCTACCGAATGTTTACTTTATGCCACTGCTTTGAAAAATATCAAGTGTTTTGGCCAATTAATTAACACGACAGGTGTAACATCATCTAATTTGTTGATTCTATTGTGTTAAAAAAATTTTTGAAAAGTTCTCACCATCTCTTATATGTTAAGATGCAAATAGTATTGCAGTAGTATGCATAAACAAACGCTGTGAACACATAAGCAAATGAATTGTATTTCTTGTCGTTTGTCTTCCTTGAGAATCGGTTGTCATTTTGTCATAGAATTGCAACAGAACTTGGAATTTAAGTTGGTTATACTTTTTTGCCTTTTTTTTACCATGGTCATATGAAATATTTAAGAAAGGGCCGTGTAAACATGGTTTGTAATATAAATAGATATAATGTTGGTATTAGTTAACATGCCCATCTAAGCTTGCAGGTTCCGCATATGTGATCAGGTGTCAATAAGTGTGAATGAGAATGATAATGTATGCATGTATAATAATGCACCAATATTACATTTATTTATATTACAAAGTACAATCTATTTTAACTGGGTCTTTTTTGCATTGGACAAGGAAGCATTGTTTTTGGGATCTTAACTTCAGCTTATAACAAATAACTTACTGAGATTGCTAGGGAAATTTGGCTTTCCTTGTCACTATCTTGTTTGATTTTCTTTTTCTACCTGCTCCCTGGGACATGCAGGGCTTTTACAGGTATTGGACTCCAAGTATTAAGAAGTTCTTAGGACAGCTCTCACAAGCTGAATCTGAAAAGGAGTCAGCATTGAAGAGCATTTTGCAGAGGTTAATTGTGCGTTTTTGTGAGCACCATGACAAGTGGAGACAATTAGTTTCTGCAACTGCAGGTTTGCGCACCAACTTTATGCATGTGGAATAGGATTGTGATTATGAATATGCATCTCTCTCTCTACACAACAGCATGTCTATAGAAAGTTAACAAGAACAAATTGTATTTCAAGTAGAATCCAAATGTGCTCTCTTTCAAACACACATGCGCACCCACTCCTGTTGAGACTATGATTTCAATTCATTTGTCCTGAAACTGGTCACGCATGATGCAGAACTGGATGTTTTGATCAGTCTTGCAATTGCTAGTGAATTTTATGAAGGACCAGCATGTCGTCCCACCATCATAGGTTCATCATCATCAAGTGAAGTGCCATGCCTTTCTGCAAAAAGTTTAGGACACCCTGTTCTTAGGAGCGATTCTTTGGGAAAGGGCACATTTGTCCCAAATGACATTAGTATTGGGGGTTCTGGTGATGCCAGCTTTATCCTTCTCACAGGTCCTAACATGGGTGGAAAATCTACTCTTCTTCGGCAAGTTTGTTTGGCTGTGATTTTGGCCCAGGTAAATTTTCTGTCCTTCAGCATATATGTTTTGCCTTTCTCTCTCCACATCATCTTTGATTTTTTTTCACAGATTGGAGCCGATGTCCCTGCTGAAAGCTTTGAGTTGTCCCCTGTGGACCGCATCTTTGTCAGAATGGGTGCGAAAGATCATATTATGGCGGGCCAAAGTACATTTTTAACAGAGCTTTCAGAAACTGCATTGATGCTGGTGAGTTTTTGTGGTAATTTAGAAGTATTTCATTTAAGAGAAAAATGGCCATGGTCTTCATGGCTGTCCCAGTGTATAGATATGGGTGAAACAACGATGTAGAGGAGAATGTTCTTGATTGATGTATAGATATGGGTGAAACAACGATGTAGAGGAGAATGTTCTTGATTGATGTATAGATATGGGTAATTTAGAAGTATTTCATTTAAGAGAAAAATGGCCATGGTCTTCAAGGCCAAAGTCTATGCAGTTTTTCCAGTCACTGACATTCAAAAGAACTTTTTGTTATGGAGAAGTTATTGATTCTTTTCATGTCTAGGTTCCAAATCCTTATAAACTGTAACGGTAGCACAACTAGTGCAGTTTTATTTGGTTTCCGCATTTTCATACCTGACCTGCATATGGATGTTTATACAGTCAGCGGCAACCTGTAATTCATTGGTGGCATTGGATGAACTTGGACGTGGCACATCAACTTCAGATGGACAAGCAATAGCGTAAGAAAATATTAGATTTGACTTTTCAATGTCATGGATTGTTTCTCTCAGAACTTTGCATGTTCTTTAAATTTATGTTTGACAATATACTGGTAATTTAGTTAATCTTATTTCTGCTTCATGCTTTGCAGCGAATCTGTTCTCGAACATTTTGTCCACAAGGTACAGTGTCGAGGAATGTTTTCAACTCACTATCACCGATTAGCTGTAGATTATCAGAAAGATTCCAAGGTATGCTTATATTTCTGGAATTCGTTGATGTTTTTTCTATTTTTGCCCTGACACTGAAGCATTTTTAAACTCAGGTTAGGACAATTTGATTGATGTGTCAGTACTTCTCTGATTAAAGCACTAGGACAGTTTGCCTATATCGAGATATTATAAATTTATAAGCTCTTTAATTCTCAGGACTTTTTCATAAATGTGTTGTGTGATTTATTATTTTCTTGCATCTACTGCAGGTCTCACTGTGCCATATGTCATGTCAAGTTGGAAATGGAGTTGGAGTGGAAGAAGTTACATTTCTTTATAGGCTGAGACCTGGGGCCTGCCCTAAAAGCTATGGTGTCAATGTTGCAAGACTGGCTGGTAATTCTTTTGCTACTTTATTGCCCTGTCTGTCTGGATTTTTGGACAAGATCCAGCTTCCTTGTTTACATGAGAGTAGAATTAATTGAGAGAGTGAAATGGAATCATTGATGATTAATTTCCTATGAATAGAACAATCATATATGTGTGCTGATCCTTAGAAAATATACAGATGCATGTCGAATGTACCTTTTGCTAACAATAGATTGGGACTTTTATGTTGTTTGTCAGTGGACCTCATTGAACTTTCTGCCATATGTCCTAATAACATGTTTGAAATCATTTACCAATTTCTTGACCACTTTCTTCATTGAATCAGAGAATGAATTCCAATCCTTTGATTATTTCAGGACTCCCGGACTCCATACTTCACAAGGCTGCTGCCAAGTCCAGTGAATTTGAGGCTTCATATGGTCAACCCAAAAAGAGATCTGAAGGAAACTTGGCCGTTCAAAGTTGTGACAAGATGGTAGTATTAATTCAAAGTTTGATCAATGCCTCAACAAGCTTGAGTTACCACGAGTCTTCTGGGATTGGCATCAGCTCAGTGACCAAACTTCAGGATAAAGCTAGGATATTTTTGCAGCAAAATTTTAAGTGACTGAATCTTCTGCTGTTGAACACCAGTATTTTGCCATCAATCAGTCTAATTTTACACTAACCAAGATACTCAAGAGAGCTTCCCTCCTGTAAGTCATTGGAGCAGCAGCTGATATTTCCTATTGGCACGGTCCTTTCAAGTCTTGAGATTTAACTTTGCAGAGTATTACTTCTATCTGTGATTGATAGATACTTAACAGAGAGCATGCAGTGTAAATTTTAATTCACGGTTACGTCTTGGGTCAGATAAGATTTGTATCCGTCGTATTCTCTAAGATGGCTAATTTTTTGTAAAGTAATTATATCAGAGATGGAACAATGAAAGAATCTAGTCTGTCTCTTATCCAGAGAAAGGGATAGTGCTCCCAGTAAGATGGTTGTCATGTCAAAGAGGTGGGTTCAACCAACAAAGGCAGAGGTTGTTGGCGATGCCCATATCATGAATGAATTTTTTCATAGGTGACTTGTTTTGAAAGTGAATATATGGTGGTTCAACCCCACTGACTGGTGTTTTTTATGCATGTTTAAACCTCCTGGTTAGTTATTGGGTGGCGTTGGTGGGTAGGGGTTTTAGTAATGTGAAATTTCACACTGACCTTTGATGCGACAGATTTCTAAAACCTCAATTCTTATTAAAAGAAATATAACTTATGCCCTCAAAAGGGGGAAGGATATTGACAAGCTGAGCATTGATGGAATGCTCTCGTGCGAAAAAAGAAAACAAAAATTGTTAGGAGCATTCTTAGACTAAATGCGGTTGCCCATCTTGATTCTCGCCCTCATCTCCATCAGAGTTTGAAATGTAGTCTTCATCATCATCATCAGAATCCTGACATGCAAGGAATAAAAACACTCTTGTTAGCTAGCAAAGAAATTAATTGGAGAGAACTGGGCTGCATATCTTCTATAAACACTCTTTTACAGTGGGACTCTTGTGATCAGCATGATTAAGGGAAGGGTGCTCACCTGATATTGATACCGAATGCTTCTATGAATTGCTGCAATTGTCCAAAAAACAACATACATTGGGAATAAAATTCCACAAGCTCTTAAGATAAGTATCTGCAAAATACACCAAGAAGAGAATCAAGAAAATGACAGACTGATTCAATTTAGAAAGGATTAAGGGAGGTTGAACTGTGAACAGCTACAGTAAGGAAATCAAATGCTTACAGTAACAAGTGTAAATGGGTAATCTTCTGTTCCGCCGGTGAGTGTAGCGAAAAGATGTCTCAAAAGCATAAGGACTGTAAACTGCCAAAAAATTAAAAAAGGGATCAATAAACTCGAGCATTTTTATCATTTAACTAATTTACCCCCTCTTTTTTTTTTTCAAAAAAAAGAAAATAATATTCATGCATTACTTCTGGTTCTGGACAGCAAAAAAAAAAAAAAATGAAAATCTTGTCCATGTTTTTCCTGATATGACCTGGCCGTGGGGTTCTGGCCCACATAATTGCTCCCAAACAACTGTTCTTCACCTTCAATTTGACTCATTCTTAGGCAGTTTGAATGAATCAGTACTTAGCTAAGCAACCCCACCGAAATTTTAAATGTTACAAAAGGGGTCCCGTCCACGTCATTCCGTCAGCCAAAGTACATTACAATAGTTCCCCATCATTACACTTAAGTCATAGCAAAGCCAACATTTTTATTTTTATCATAATCTTCTTAAACTAAGTTACTAAGATTATGAATTAAGAGTATGTTCAATCATCGTATAATGAACAGGAACTTACCGTTAGAGCCAAACACCGGCAGCAAGAGGCGCTCCTGTCCGCGGCAGATGAGCAATGAGAGTACTCAGTGCCAGCTGTGGCTCTCTCGGCTATGGCTCCTAATTCTTGGTTTTCCGAATCATGTTCTCTTCTTGGAATTTCCAAACTGTCTCTGCCATGACCATTCATCGTTTCGGTACATTACTATTTGATAGAATATAATCATAATAGTAAGACTATTTGCCAAAAGAACCAAAATTCCCAAAGGCCTAGAGAGACTTGAAAAATGACAGAAACTAGTCATAGTTCATGAACCAGGTGGCAAATAATTGTTCAGCGCCAGCTATGAAATTTTTGGTGTTGTGTAAAGCAGCCTTTCAATTTGCCTAGTATATTTTATGGTATGAGGAAGTTTGCAAATAAAGGGAACGCTGATATTCTAAAACGCGCATAAACAGTTGGAGGATAATGCCACGCGTTTTTTTTTTTATCTACAATTTATGAAAATTATTGGAAGGAAATATGAATGTACCTAATCGTCATTGCCTCAATCAGCTCACACTTTTTTGAAGGTGCCGTGTATCCTGGTTCATAATTCTGCAAAAAATTCAAATTTCATTCTAATCAATTACTTGACATCTTTGAAATCCATTCAGACTTTCAAAGAAGACTAAACCCGTGTAGAATCAAATTATGAATTTCCTCAAAAACAATCATCAGAAAATTTTCAATTCAGAAAGCTCCATGTTCTTTGGGAGAAATCAATGTTTAGCTCTATAATTAGTAAAACTACAGTGGAAACCAATAGAAATAGGCCAGTATAATAACAGAGAGAGATAGAAAAGAAAATGGATAAAGACCCCAAAATTCAAAGCAAAACCAAAACTGATGTTTTCCAAGTTGAAAACGGCTAAGATGAAAAAAATGAAATTAAACCCAATTCGAAGTAAAACAAGAATAAATATTTGATTCATAGAATCAAAAGTATCTGCGACAGAGCTAACAGAGAAGGAAAAAAGAAAAAGTCAAACCATGGAACCAAAATAAGAAAACAGAGGACCCCAACAAAGAAATTCAAAATTTTAGTATATAAATCGTACAAGTTTCCAACCTGGAGACATATTTCACAAGTTGTATTTCCCTTCTCGTTACACCATCTCTGTATGCAATCTCTATGTGCAAACTGAAACAGAAACCAGTTTAAAGAAAAACGTTATTAACAGAAGATGAAAAACAAAACTAAAAGGTGCTCACAGGAGCACCAGGAAGAACATGAGATTTCTTGATTTTGTTAGGTTGTTTACCTTGACAGTTCCAGAGCAAGCACAAGGAGCTTCCAAGCTTTTACAGCTTTCAAATTCTGCTTCATGACAAATTCTGCAGTGTGATACTGCACAACTTGTTTGCAAATCATCCACAAACAATATAACATCTCCCATTTTTGAGTGATTTTCCCTTTTCTTTTTCTTCCTTTCTCTCCGATTTTCAAAAAACTTCTCTCTGTTTTCCTCTGTTTTTAAGACTTCTTATTTATTTTATTTTTTTTCCCTCTCTCTGTCTTCTTGGACTTACTCGACTTTTAAAGAAAAGGAATTGGTCTTCAAATTACAAAACTACCCTTATTAAAACAAATAACTTGCTAAAATGGAAAAGAAATGTACATTTATACCCCAAGAGTCCATTCTCTTTTGTTTGACCCTGGCATGTCAATAATTGACTAAAGTATTATGTAAAAAAGAAAAATATTAAAATATTTCTCGAACAAAACAATGAAAATATCAAGTGAATAAGAAAGGAAATTTCCGTTCTAAAAGAGAAAAATAAAATATAATGAAAACTCCTAAAAGAAGTAGGCATATATGATATAATCATACAAGTACGTTTATTTTAATACTCCTAAAAGAACTTAACAGCAAACGGGAATATTCACTGAGTTTTAATTTTTTTGTTAAATTTGGCTATTCTTTTGGAAGAATATGGACTGCATCAAGAGACGCGGTCGAGGAGAAGAGCTGGAATGCGAACCTTCGTCTTTTTGACTTGCGTATGAGCATGCGAAACGTTCGTTTCTTTGTCAAACGGTCTGCAAATTGCAATATGCCTGAAACAAGTAGCAACGTACGTTAAGAGAGAGACTAGGGTAATATTTTCCCTTGTGTTTCTCGAGAGTAATATGGGACCATACCTTTTATTTTTTTTATTTTTTTTGGGGGGGATTCTTTGCTTGTGTGTAAACTGTGGGTTTCTTTCTCCTCCGAGTTAAGCAAAACATTTTTTATTTCTATTAGTTAAATAATAATGAGTGGATTTACTTTCCAAGTACTTATCATTCAATAAACAATTAACAAGGAGAATTTTTCTTCATTAATGCACTGGATGTTGATTGTCTATTTAAAATCCTACAGATCATACAAGGATTTAGTTTCAAATATTTAGTAAAAATAAATGGAGTGGAAAATAACATTAGATTGAGGCGGATGTCTTGATTCTATTGGCTATTGAGCTATAAAATTTTAAAGAAGATTTAATTAGTAATAAATGAGACTATTATGGGTGATCTTGATTTGTTAATAATTAAAAAAATTCGAATCTATCTTTTTTCCCTGAACTGATGTTATGTTAAATTAATCGATAATTAATGATTCTTTATTATTTTAATAAAAAAATCAAGAAGCTCTTAATCGTATGACGATGAACCAAATAACAGATATGCAAATCCATCAAAATATAAATCATGTTACGGAATGCCTTGGGAGATTTTATCTATTAAAATAATTGTGAAAAGACAGAGGGGCAATCTCGTAATCTAATTATTCAACAAGAAACAATAAAAAATGCATGTCGACAGAAATGAATTCTATTGAAGAAAAATGTATAGAATTAAAAAAAGAAAAAGAAAAATTCAAACCCTATTTCTCTTTTGCAGTTTGAATTTAAAGCCTTGGATCTGCTATTAACGGCTCTCTGGCTACCTGAAATTTAAAAATACTGGGCCCACCCCATCCCACCTTTAAAATTTAATAAAAAAACAGAAACAAAAACTACTAATTCTAAACGCGCTTAGATGTGATTCACTGGGCCCGCTACCGCTATCCATTAAAATATTCTACAACATATATACTTAGGAAATTAGGAATAATAAGACAATCTTTTATTTCAAATTCCAAAGTTTTATTAATAATTTCTGCCCTTTTGGGATTTACGATGCTGACATTTGTGCTTATCCCCTTCTAGATCTTATCTTTTTCTCTTTCTTGCTTAGTCTTTGGATGTTTCTAATTATGTGCGTCTCTATTGGCTAAGAGGATACTTTCGCAAATTTTGACAACGTTTAAGCAAATACAGCAAGTGGTCAGCAAATTGTGGCTGGTGGGGACACGTGGCCAACGGACACTACTTGCTCACCATATTACGTTGATCTTGCACCTCCATCCGTGTAGGAGGGAATGGTGTCCACGTCTTGTACAAGCGACTAGATAGACTTGATCTGATCACATACATTTTTTTCAGGTGATGCTAATTATCTTACTTTCAGTAATATGGTAGGGTAATTATTTGTGTTGATGTAGGGACAATTTGTGTTAGTTACGGACTAATGATTTTTTTTTTTTTTTTGCTAGGGTAATCAATGTTCCAATTAGATCGACCATAACACGAAGATAATACAATTCATTTGTTGTTATTGTTCTCCGTTCTGGATTTAGGCCGACCTAACTCTAAGTAGGAGATCACTAAACTTAACAAATACCCAACCCTAAGTAGGAGGCTAATTTGGCTAACTAACGGGCAAAAGTCAGATATCACATGTCATTTATACAGGTTCAGAATTACCAATTTGTCTTGATATATTGTTACTGCTAAATTAATGTTTAAACTTGTTAATGTCATAAGAGTCATTTGAGTAACCCAAGCGATTGAGCAAATCTATCCAAGTTCAAGTACGACAAAATAGCAAAAAGGTATGGATGATACGGTTATAGGATATTATTTAACAATTAAAAATATGATTACGAGAGGATGGTTGTTGGAACAATCTTTGCTTCAAAGTTCGTGTAACGGACGCCAGTGGTCTAAAAATACGTTGGGTCTTAGATTTTACACATAGATTCAGCCCATAGTACTATACGCAACAAGGCCGAGCCGGCTGCTATTCCAAATTGAAAGGGCGTAACCGATTCTTGTCTACTGCATGAGGCCCAAGCAACCTAGGCCTAAATTTCACGCTTTTGATTAGCTATAGTGCAAAAGGCACTAAATTAATGAGATTTTGGTGAGTTGGAGTTTTTATACGAGGGTTCGGGATTTTAAAATTTTCAGTGGGAAGAGAGTTTTCGGAATAAGTTTTACTCAGGTCAAGACTAATCTTTTTTTGAATATACTTAAAAAGAATATTTCTTTATATACGATTTTAGATATTTTAAAAATAATGCTCACAAAAATCAAATTCGAATCGACTTATAAATCAATACTTGCTTATTAGTGAATTATTACTTTATGATTAAGTTAAAGTTTTAATAGTTTGAGTTATTGAAAACCATACATTTTGATTGTTTAAATATAAATTGAAGTTGAAATCATTCACATGCATGGATTGATGGATGCTTGTTGGACAAAAATCATTCACGATCTAAAATTGAATTTTAAGCATCTAATTTGATTCTTTATGGTTAGATTTTATTTCGGATGAGATTTGTTGTTGGATTGAAGTTTGAGGAAGGTTTTAAAGTCCTTTGATCGTAAAAGTTGAAGTTTTAATAGGGTTTTTGGATTAGTGGGGACCATAGGTTATGAAATTTTGATTTAATTTTTTTTTAGATATGAATTAAAATAAATTTCAATACTGAGATTGTTTCGGCAGCTAGAACACACGCGTATTCCTCAAGAACTCAAATCTGCTGGTCATGGGCAGTTTCGGAGAAAATCATTTTGGATCTATAACTTGAATTCCGAACATTTGATTTGATTTGATTTTTTTTTCATTTATTTGGTGCGTAAGAAGGTTTGAGGTTTGTTGAGGTCACAATAGTTTTCTTCTACGGGAAGTTTTATCTATATGTTTGAGAAATGTTGTTTTGATTGTTTAAAATGAAGTAAAATGGACTGTGAGGTTAAAAATGTGTCTTGTGAAGGGTATATGATATTCAGGTTTTTTTGAAAAAAAATAAAAAATGGCATTCGATGCTTTTGAAAGCGATAAGATCTAAAACTGAGGCTAGAGTTGTAAGGGAATTATACTTTTTTTTTTTTTTTTTTTTAACGCACAAGCATAGTATTAAAGAACTATATAATCCCAAAATATTAAGCTAATGGATGGATGAGTCTTTTTATTTTATAACTTAGTCCATAATAATATTATATTTAGCATATTTTAATGACCCGAGACATTTATTTTTTAACGCGTCTCTTGAGATACCAAATCAGTAATGATATAACTAATCAAATGTGTTAAAACAGACTATGTATGACGAAATGTTTAAACTGTAATTATGATATGGTGAAATACAAACTACAAATGATATAATACAAATTTTAAATATGACAAAACAACTCGTATTTGGGAAACTCATATCCAATGCAATTTATAAAAACGATAACCTTTTCTTTCTGCCAAAAATATATCTTTTCATAGATAAGAAGACCAAGAAAATTTGAAAATCCATTTACGATTCATAAAAAATTCCCCTAGTATCATTTTCATTTTCTATTTTTTGTTTTTAAAAGTAAAATTATAAATACAAACAAAAAAAAATTTTCAAAAGAAAAAACCAACAACTGATTATAAAAAAAAAAAAAAACACAAAATAATCTGGGACAGCTTTTCTATTTCTTTTTCTATACATTTGAAAACAGAAAATGTAAACGGCTCCGATACCAAACCACAACTCAATGATTGGAGAAATAATTTGATATGCCCTTGTTTCCTCCCAAACCACTTCTTGATGGATAAAAAGATAAAGTTGCAATTTGGCTATTAAAAGCAAAACCCCACAGGATGCCAAGTGGTCCACAACTTTGCCCACGCAATAGCAAAAGATGGGGACTGAAAGCAAGACCTCTCCAATTGCAGCGCAAAGGAATCTTTCGTGGGGGATAGGAGGGTTCGCTGGAAAAAGATTTTGATTGAACTTAAAGCAGCCCTTCTGGATCATTGCTGAGTTCATCGATCAGACCAAATGAAGCTTCTTCTGCGTAATGCTCACAAAATATCTCGATTTATTATTATAAAAAATGAAAAACATTAGATATTATTTGATATGGGGATTGGCTGTGATGAGAGTACATTTGTCCATAAAAAGTGCAAAGCAAAGATCAATTAATTTTTGAGTCGATGGCTCTGGTCCTATCGAAGAAATATCGTTACATCTTAACCGAGTTAACAAATTTGTTTAAATGCAAAACGAGAAAGAAATTACTTTACTGAAAGAGGAAAAATCATTTATCTATACCTGAGAAACAAAATTTCAAAACAACTTATTTTTTGCCCTTTGAAGTGTTTTTTTTTTTTTTTTTTTTTAAAGCTAGTCTAGCCCCTTGAATCCTTTTTAGTTTGTCAAGTATGCCTTTGGTTTTTATTCAATAACAAAAGATATCATCATATCCGTTTATATGTTAATTAAAATCAAAGATTTTTCTTCGAATAATCTAAAATATGTAATTTTTCATACTAATATCTGACATTCAGAAACTTTTAATTAATTTTATTAAATAATACGGAAAAATTCAAAAGCACAAATAAAAATCTTACATCAAAATCATGACTTAATAACTCAATTTATTTTTTATTTTTTCATGTCAGCAATCATTTCTCATCCTTTATATAAAATTAAGCTAAACTAAACTCGAAGTCCAAGGGGGCATATTGCCGTTTCCTCTTTTATAAAACACTTTATTAGCAAGTAGTCCTTTTTCATTTCGAAAGCCTCATTCAAATAAATTTAAAAACAGAACAGAATCCAGTGAACTCAAAACCAGCAAATCAAAACCAGTGCAGCAAATACCGTTACCGACCGCCTATAAATAATACTACTACAGATTAGGCTTGCTTTGTATCAACATCTTGAGGCCAATATTTTTCCTAGAGCTGTATAGATAAGCGTTATAAATTAGCCAGGAGTAAAGAAAAGAAACCAGGTTATCAAGATTTACAAGAATGGAAGGAGTGAGTGAGGAAAACAAGCACAAGATAGTGGTGGCAGTGGATGAGAGCGAGGAGAGCATGCATGCTCTTTCATGGTGTCTCAGCAACCTTATTTCTCACGAATCCACCACCACGCTAGTCCTCCTCTATGTTAAGCCCCCACCTGCTCTGTACTCTTCCTTTGACGTTGCAGGTTTCTATTAATTTCTTGCTCTTTCACGTCACTTTTACCTTCTTGTTTAATTAGAATCTATAGTAATATCTGAAGAAAAATATTTGATTGTAGTGCGCATGGTTTCGACTGATGTGATTACTGCTGTGGAAAAATATGGAACCGACATGGTGAACTCAGTGATGCAACGAGCAGAAGCCATCTACGGGAACGTCAACACAGAAGTAAACCAAACTTTTTCCTTGTGTGTTAGATCTGTTTGCTTTCTTATCTTTAGATATGCTTAACGAAGGAAGCTCTGAAGCAGGTAAACGTGGAGAGAGTAATTGGGAGTGGAGAGGCGAAGGATGTTATTTGTACTACAGTAGAGAAAATTAGACCTGACACTCTGGTAATGGGAAGCCACGGCTATGGTTTCTTGAAGAGGTAATAAGCGATTTTCACTGGCTTATTAGACTCTTTCAACTAAATCAAAAACCTTATTCATCTTCTATGGACATCAGAATCTTAATCTCTAATTCATTGCTACAGGGCTTTCCTAGGAAGTGTGAGTGAATATTGTGCCAAGCGGGTCAAGTGTCCAGTTGTGATCGTGAAGCACCCTCAAGACAAATGACTGCGTTTCCCATCCAACTCTTCCCCAAAGCATGATAGAGGATTCTAGCTTTCTTACAGCATCCAAAATGCGTTACCACCGAGAAGGGGAAGAAGGCTTGTAGAAATTCTATCAACTTAAGAGTTTGCTTGCATCATTTCATGTAACCAAAATGCGTTCGCTTTAATTTTTTAAGGGAAAAAAAGAGAGTTTATAAGTTTGCTTGCTGCTCCTAAAGACAGTTCGCTCCACATCGCTGTCTGCTCGTAGACCTTCGTATCACACAATTCAGAAGCTATTCCATTAATTAGTCACCCCCGAAGTGGAGCTAGCGTGGCCCATACAGTGGTACAATATTCGGACAAGTTTGGTGCCATTGCTGGTGGATATTCCAGGATACCTTAAACACATGCTAAGTGCTGACCCTGTGTTATAATAAACCTTAAATTTATGACTCACTTAGAGCGTAATATCAAAGCATTTATCACAAACAAAATAACCCCGCATAGAGGCACCAGAAAATTTGTATACTGAAATAAAATAACAATCAATTTGATCCGAAATCCAAGGAGGCAGTTGCCATAGAGGGGAAGCTCAACTGTCAAACTTAACAGGTTGAACTTCCAAGCATATCCCTGAATGCTCCTTAATTGAGTAGGAGAAAGTTAAAACACCAATCTATAGCACCTCACCCGGAACACAATACTCGACCAGAAAAGTGATCACTGCTAATATGGACACCTTTTGACCTCGAGCTCCTCAAACTTCAAACAGGCGAAGGCAAGTGGTGCCAGCATGATCCTTTTGGCCTTCCCCGGTTATTTTGCACACTTCCAACACCTTTGAAAAACTCCAGAAGAGAAGCTAAAAATGATCCTAGCCTTATCCACCCCACCAGGCCTAAGGTGACGAAGAACTACCATTAGAACTGCTTGGTTTGCCCACAAAAAACTGTACGATTCCAAACATCTTAAACTACTTGATATTTTGGTGCATGAGCTAACCTAAAGAGGTATTGTCCCATGTCAAGGAAACTATCATAGGTGTTGAAATACTTGCTATCATCAGCTCTATCAATTTGAAAAGAAGGGAGATGCCCAACCAGGCACCAGATGGGTAATTGCGATAAGATGAGACTTCTCTCTATAATCCCTCAAGAGGCAGCAGGACATGGTAACCAAAAGGTCCAAAAACTGAGATACATAATCAGCTTGCATACATCTGTTTTGAACTTTCCAAATTACAACAATCCACAGGTGCTAAAATCAACCACGATGACCAAGAAAAATCTAAAAAACTCTCAATGTCTATTGATAAAAACAAAGTACATGATTACCATCCATCCATGACAGTTGGTTCCTTAAAAAGACCTCCAGAAAAGTACACCATGCCATAGCTTTCCTTTTAACCTTCCAAACTTCAACAATCCACAGATGCTAAAATCAACCACTTAACCACAATGATCAAGAAAAATCTCAAAAACTCTCAATTTCAATTGATAAAAAAAAATATCATGATTAACACCCATCCATGATAGTTGGTTCCTTAAAAAACCTTCAAAATAAAAGTATACCGTGCCACAGCTTTCCTTTCCAAACTAATAACTCAAAACTTAATATATTTCCAATAAAAGTACAAACAGCTTAGCAATCAATATAACCTTTTGGCACTGGCCAAAAGAAAGCCTTCCTGAGAACTGTTGGACGAATTTGACTCAATACTCTTCTTAAATGAAGAGAGAATGCTTAATTGACATGTAACAAACTACAGAACTCCTCTCTACTTCTTCAGTTACCAAATGAAAAAGATAAGCCAAAACGACCATGCACTAACTGGAGTAAAAGAGCTTAGCAAACTTTCACCTCTTAAACAAGCAATGAGAATATACAGACCACCAAATTATGATCGTGAAACTGATATCAGCTTATTTATAAACAATTGGCTTTCTAGTTTCTGTTGTGGGTATATAGTTGTTGAAGGTTGCTTAGAGTCTAATTTACATTGCAGAGAGTAAAAAAAGCCTTGATCTTTGCAATTTTCACCAATAAATGCATAAATCACACTGTCCTATGCAATCGAGGAAGCAATAAAGATCAACACACAATTTACAATTTTACCTTAGTTAACATAAATAAAACAAAACAAGCTTAATACCAACAAAACACGGCACAGGTCATTAAGTCAATCACAACCACACAAGATTTCTATTGTAACCCAGAAAATCAAATAAATTCAGCTGAATACATCGACAGGGAGAACCATGAAAGATATAAAGAATTGTTTGCACTTTGCAGATAACCAAATCAGTTATCTCCCAAAAATCTGCCACATCAAATTTATCCCACCAAGACCATATTCATTGAAAAATATAGCAAAGCATCCATCTATCTATTTTAAGAGAGCAAAGTGCTTGTAAATGTGATAAATTTCCATAATTACACATTAACCTCCAAAAATAGTTACTATTTTCATAATATCAAGACAATTAGTCCTAGGCAACCAAGAATCATCCTTCAAATTCTTAAGATGTAAAACCAGACAAATGGTACTGCCATATGAGTGAAAAAAAAAGAAGGAAAAATATAGTATTAAACAAAAAAAAAAACATTACTAGAGACAGCCAAGAACAGGTCCAACATCTACTCTCGGTTGAAGATTCCCCATCCTTCTTGTTATGCTTCCTCGCGTACCTCAGGTTCCTCAAAAACTTAGGATCCGTCTATTTTTGTGCCAAAAAAAATGTGAATATTAAAACTACTGAATCAAAACGGTAAAAGGCATGGAAAATAAAATGAAAACAGAGGAAATCAGAGAGAAAGTTACAGACCCCTTTAGTGGATGTGTTTCTGTGTTTTCTGTGTATCTTAATCCCATTTTTATGAGCCTTGTAAGACTAGTTATGAGCAGTGTGATTCTTTGACTCTGCCATTGATTTAGCAAGTGATAGTAGGCAGAGGCAGAGGGAGAAAGAAGATTTCTCGGACGTGGGAAGGTTTAGGGCTTTTGCATAATATGCAACGGGAACTAGTTTACTTGTAGTTATTACACTAGTCGGACGCGATTTAAGAAAAAAAATTAAAAAATTAAAATTTTAAATTTTTTTAATTATAATTTTTTATTTAATTAATTTTTTAATATTTTTTTGTAAACTTTTTATTTAAAAAACATAAATAATTCTTCTTTATGGATTGATTTTAAAATAAAAAATATAATAATTTTAACTAATCAAGAATTAAAAAAAATTATAAAAATATATTTTCATAGTATTGTATTCCAAAAAAATAAAGTTATAATTAATAGATAAACTTTTACAAAAATTAATAAATGAAAAAAATTCTTATTTAATGCAAAAGAGAAGATTAATTTTTAAAATTATTCATACAACGCTACGAGATAGATAAAAAAGAATCATTTAAAAATTTAAAATTTTTTTATTTAATTATTATAATTTTTTTGTGTGTTTTTCATAAATTTTTTGCTTAACAAACATGATTTATTTTTCTTTATTTACGGATTCTTAAATAAAAATTTGTAATAATTTAAACCTGAAATATTAATTAAGAATTCAAAAGCAAATACTTTAAATTATATTTGTCTCTAAGAATGTATAAAAAAAATTATAATTAATGTATAGACTTGCATAAAAATTAACCGATGAAAAAAAAAATTATTCTTATTTATTGTTGGTGAGAAGATTATTTTTTTCAAGTATATGCATTAGATCTATGCATATTTGTTTACAAAATAATCAACAAAATTAGCATAAAAAACTTTATTTGAGTAATTGGTTGGTTCCTTTAAAAAATTATTTTAATTATTTTATTTCAAATAAATTGGTTCTATAATGTTAAAAAAAATATTCATAATAAATAATTTGCATTATGTTGGAAAATGTATAATTATTTTTTTATAAAATTAACGATTCAATAGTTTTTTATATGTCTTGATCATACCTAATGAACTGCGACAAATTATTTGAAACACGCTTTTAACCTTTTGAAATAAAATAGCTATATATTTATCCGAGTGCACTATCATTTAAAAATTATATGAATTCATAATATATATTATGCCAATTTACTTTTTAAAAAAGAAAAAAACAATCATGTTTTAAAATTTTATTCTAAAATTCAAATATAGGGAAAAAAATTATATTTATCAATAAATAAAATCTTATATAAAATATTAATTGGATGAGAATTTTCATAAAAAATAATAAATTTAAAGAATGAAATTTAAACGATGAGAGTAACATAAGCTTAAGTATATATTAATTTTAAAATATAAAAAGATAATGTGTGTGTACGTACGCTCACGTGCTACGTGAAAATGAAAGAAAAATAAAAGCTAAGGATTAAAAAAAAGTTATAATATGAGGGACGAAAAATAGAAAAAAAGTGTTAAATTTGCATACTAATGTCCAAAAACACACACAAAAGTACACAAAAAAATTACTTGAATTGACATCAAGTGAATAGTAATTCAATGCATATGAATAGTAAGTGAATAAGAATTTTAGATATATGCCTAGGTTATGATTCTCATGCAACACTTGCAGACCGAACTAGATATATTTATTTCAGTTTGATAACATATATTATGTCATTGGTTAATTAAAATATTTTAAATTAAGTATAAAAGATAAATTTTAAAGTAAAAAAATATGATTTGTTCTTTCTTATGCATTTATTCTTAAATAAAACTCATAATAAATAATTTTTAATATAATTTTTTTAAAAAACATCTTAATATTTTTTTCATTACATTTCATTAAAGAAATAAAGCAATGATTAGTATAAAAACTTGTATGAAAATTAACAAATGAAACTTTTTCACCGATAAGAAGATTATATATATATATATATTTGATTTATATATATTTATTTACAAAATAATGAATAATATTAGTATACAAAATTGTATTTGAGTTATTAGGTGGTTATTCTAAAATATTATTTCAATTTTTTTATTTAAAAAAATCATTTTAAATATTAAAAAAATAATAACGAATCGTTGGTATT